TAGAGAATATTTTTTTAATGTGAAATTTAGTGTTATGGTTGGAGATGAAAACCTTTTTTTTTACGCCAAAACACAAAATTTAGTGTAGAAATCACACCAAATTTAGTGTAATAGTTGGAAATGGCATCAATCTTCTCGTGAAAAAGCTTAAAGGTCATAACTTCTTCTTTCTTTTCTTCTACTATTAATTAATTTGTATCCTTCTTTTTTTTTAGTTTGGTTTCCTCTTTTATTACCTCTTGCTTTTGAATTATAAGCTGGTGTAAATGAACTTACGGGGAATCTTGAATGTTAAGCGATGCAAATATTGCGATGCTAATGAAGATGAACTACATATCATTTTGCTTTGTCCCTTTGTAGTCAAGACTTGGGAGCTGGCTCTAATATTGTTCAAACCAGATTGTAGTGTGTCGTACACTATGAATCAGTTTCTTGATGCAGCGCATCGACATATTAACCTACCTGTTAATAAGATTTGATAAGAGAAATAGAATGATAGAGAGGAGAAGAATAAAATATATAAAGATGAATATAAAGAAATTTATCCTCTTTAAGCTACACAATGTTCTATACGAGGAGACTTTAGCCGTCGCGAAATCCATCGAACATGTATCGTTATGCCGATGTTGGGTGATAATGATGAGATCAAGATTCTCAAGAATATTCCAAAGAGATTAGCAAGAGTATGCTTGACTCGGTGAAGACTCGTCTTGCGATTTCCTAACACCAATCATTACCGATTTAAACGTTGATTCAACCTTGAGCTCCAATCTCGTAAGTCTACCGTCTATTTTTGCGGTGTCCCCGTCTCTTTACTGTAGGTATGAGAAGAGTTTTCTCGGTAAAAAAGAAGGCAAAATAGATGGGACCCTAGCTGAATTTTTTTTGGTTATTTTGTGAATTATAAAAAATTTTGAGTCATTTTTGCTAATTTTCCATAACTAAATAGTCACCAAATAAATTTTTAAACAAAATTATAATAAATACTCCGTATCTAACAAAAATAAATAATTTTAAGAAATCAAAATTATATTTTTAAATTAAAAATCAAATTTATAAATGACATAAATCCCATATTTTGTTATTAATTATTATTTAAATTATACTT